AAGCTCCGATGTTTGCCACAGGCCCACCGTTCACTTCCTCTCACTCCCGCACTCCCCTCCGTCGGTCGCTTTTCTTTATTAATTTATTTATTTATTTAAGAACATTTTGTCCTTCTCTTTGGAACAAACCTGACCCTGGAAACCCGATCACTGGCACTGCTGATGAATGAGGTCATTATAACCTATAAAAGCCTCAAACAAACAGTGCCATCTGATTAACGCAGCCACTCTCTCGCTCGGTGATAATTAGGCACGTAGACCGGCCTCGCTTTCAGTCAGTCATAAACGCTCAGATCAAAGGGGGACATGAAATCCGGCTTTGGATGCTAACCCAGCCCAGCACTAGCCTTGGGCTTGGAGGGGACAATGGCAAGGTTGATGGGCCTAAGATTTGCTGCCCCTCCCCAATTCACTCCCTTGCATAATAATTAGTTTCAATTATCAACCTTCCCGTCCCCCATCTCTCTTTAGCCCTGCAAAAGGCTTAACCCTCCCAGCACTGGCTGATCTCCAGGGGTTTGAGGTCTTGAGGACTGGGGAAGCTAGGGGCATGGTGCTAGGGAGTGGGGACAGTTTCTAGATGCTGGGAGGGGAAGCAAGCCACCCCATGTGCCTCTCCCTGGTGGGAAGCCCCATCTTCCTCCGGGCTCAGCTCAGCTCCAGTCCTGCGTTCACTTGGGAACCAGCATGTGGGGGAGTCGTATCAGGGAGACAGGTCTGGAGGGAGGAGGTGTGAACAGCACTAAGTACCGAGGCCCCAGCTCCGATCTTCCTGTCTACATGGGGAAACGGATCAGCTGAACGCCAGCACTCTAATTATACATCTCTCCGTGTGGACGCAATTTTGGAATAAAGTGATTTCCCCACCACCACCACCCCATAGCTTAAACCGCTTCCAACGCAACGTGGAAAAAAAAGGTCGCTTTTATTCCAGATCAGTGCGTCGGCCCAGGGAGCAGCACCGCCAGAGCCAGAGCAGTATAATTAGACTAGCACAGCTTATTAGCAACCTCGGTTGGCAGCAAGATGCTGCTATTATCCAAAAGTTTCCAGTAAGCCAAAGGCCCGTGCCTGAGACGGCAGCATGGGGCGGCCCCACGGGGACCCGCTGCCTGCACAGGAGGTAACGGGAGCCCCGGCTGGCAGCCAGCGCTGCCGGTTGGAGGAAAGGCTGCGGGCAAGGAAGGTGGCAGTGGGGAGGGGAGTCCTGGGGATTCATGGTTCCTCTCCTTGCCCTCTCCCAGCTGCACTCTGCCCTGGCACCAGGGACCAGGCTCAGCACATCACAGCACTTCCTTCCCTGGCTGCAGCCCTGCAAACCTGCCTGTGGCCAGGACTTGCCACAGGGAGCAGGGGCTACTGGGCTGTCAAATGGTTATCAATCAGCAGCACGGCAGCTGCCAGTCTCCAAATCCCATTAACGTTAAAGTGAGTGGGACGGGATCGGCTCTTGGGCTGGCGTCGCCAGTGACTGAAAGCGGCCTTTATTGGGACTGCAGATAACCAGCATCCACTGTGTAGTTCTGCCTGTCAATTTCCCCACGGAGACCAGCCCTGTTATACAGTAGGAGCCCCCTCAGCTGGCTGCCTGCCCACCAGCTGGGATTATCAAACACCCCCAGCCCCCGGAGCTCCATCGCACTAGAAGACTGAGGCAACCTGGCCACGCCACGTGGGGGCATCTTGCCCTGCTGGGTCTGCTGTGCGGCTAAACATTGCGTCTCAGATGGGCACACAGGTGCTTTTCAGCCACACTCAGCTCTGTCGTAGAACCAAAAAACAAGGAAGCAAATCCAACTTCTAGGTTAATTCCTGCTGCCATTCAAAACCAAAACATCTGCCAAAGGGAGGAGGCTTCTAATGAGGTGTCGCAAACAATGGAGGATCCGAGCTAATTAATTGACGAGCAGAGCCGTGGAAGGACGGCCTTGCAAAATGAGGCCGATTGCCTGGTTGGTACGGCTGCAGCCTTCCAAACTCGCTTTGAGAGAGCTCAGCTCAGCTCCCACTGCAGCACGGGGCCTGAGCCCGGCCGAAAGCGTTTACAGCTCAAGTGGAATGAATCCTCTGGAAAGGCCTTTGGTATTTCAACTCCCGGCTACACCTTCAAAATCAACACGCTACGCAAACAGGGTTGGCTAATTTCATTTCAGAAACACACTCAGACCGCTGTGCGATCCTTTTTCAATCTGCTGCCAATAACAAAATAACCAGCGTGAGAGAAAAGGGTCAGCCCTAATAAGGTCATATTGAACTAACCAACAGCCTCCCGGGACGTTACTGCATCTATGGGGAGAAACGAGCTCTGTCTGATGCATGAAAGATATTGGTGTAAGAGAGGCCGTCGCTAGATATGAATTGTTCTGGGGGTACTTGGACACTAGTTTTCGGCATGCTGAGGGCCTGTTTTCATTGTGCTCTCCAAGAACAGACACACTGCAAGCACTGTCCTTCCAGTCAAGAACTGCAGGGCACCGTTTGGTGACACGCTGTGTTTTCCCCCTCACCTACAGGGGCCTGGGAATGGCGAGACTGGGATGAGATACAGAATCTGGCTACGAACACAGGCCATGTGGGGTCAGCCCCCTGCCACCATGCTAAGTCGTGGCTGCCCCACTTCCAAAGAATGGAAACCCTGGAGCAGTGGCGACGAGAGCTGCTTAGAACAGGTCGGACCAAACGGGTTTTCATCCGAATTCCCCAATTCGTCGAAACCAAAACCTTCCACAGACACCGTTTGATTTCGATGACGTCTCAGGAAAGCCAGGCAGGATTCCGACGACCCAGCCTGCTACACCCTGGACAGCTTTCAAAACCTGCCTGGTGTCCTGCCGGTTCCTCTGTCTAACTTCAGCAACCCACCTGCCAGGCTACAGGGAAACAGGATTCCAGAGTCTGCAGTCCCAGGGGAAGGGACTTCCAGGTCCTGTGGCCACCGGCCAACCAGCCAGGCAGAGTGCCCCGGGGTCATTTCCAGAGTCCATGATCGCAGACCCCAGGGTCTTCCCTTTGATAGAGAATTTTAAATGTTTTTGTTTATATTCCTAATTGGAACGAAAGCAAAGTTGAAACATCAAATCCTCCGCACAGCTCTCCTCCCTCGATCCGCCCCACCCCCAAATCAGCAAGGGATTTGCAGAGTTCTGCTCTGTTAAATCCTGGTTCGGGTTTCATTGCTTAGATCTGAAGGTCTACCAGGGGAGCATAGAGAAACCTGTCCAGGGCACAGTCTGTGTGGGGCGGGAGAGAGGGGGGATATCAAAGCGCTTTTGTCCGCTGCAACAAAGTCATGCAGCATCTCGCCTTTTCTCTTGGGAACCAGGGAAATGCCTGTAGAGATTTCAGGGATGAGTCAGGCCCTGGGATGCTGAGGCATGTCACTCACTGCAGGTCAATGCAAGGGCTTGCTGGAGGCTCCTTCCTGGGGCGCCCATGAGTGGTCAGACAGCCAAACAAACAGTTACCACCCTTTGGAAATTTGCGTCGTCACCCAGAGCAATCAGAGGCCGTCCGGAGCTCAGCAGAGTGTTGCAGGAGAGGAAGTAGTGGGTTTGTTGCCCGTCACAAGAGGATTTCGTTCAGAATTCATAGCGATGCTGTTAATCTGCATCTCTCTGTTCCCTGGAGCCCAGTACTCCACCACCCTGCACCTTGGCTCATGCACACACCTGTGCAGAGCGTGGCACCAAATCTGGACTCTGCACTCACTCACACCACTGGCACTATTTCCCGCCCATGTGGCACAGCAGAAAACGATTCCGCAAGGGGCAAGGAAGGGGAGAATCAGGCCCCAGTCTTTTCCTGGTGACAAACCACAAAACCCCTTTTGTTCCCAACAATCGTCCTGGGCCTCCCTCCATCTATGGAACATTTAATGAAGCCATGCCCTATAGCACTTGCACCATCCTCTTTGCATCCTTCTCCCACTCCACCTTTTCGCATCTTCTCCTGCGTTGCTCCTGATGTGTGGAAATACCTCCCTCTTCACACGCACCAAATGATCTCCCTCCTCCTCCAGGAAGCCCGCACTTCCCCCAGCCCTGAGGTCCCCATCTCTCAGCAACCACATAAACACAGATCTCTGCATCACCTCGGATTTTTGCAGCCTCCTGATGTACTGCATTTGAACTGTTTTGTCTGCCTCAGGTGTCCATCACACCCCGGCAGCCAGGGACCTATGTCTATCCATGTGATTGTAAAGCAACAAGAGTGCTGTCAGCCTTTAGCAACAACAAAGGCGACGGTGATGAGCAGCGTTTTGCCTTCAGCTGGACAGCTCAGAACGAGTCTGAGGAAATGCCTCTTCACACGGAGGGCGGTCACAACCTGTGGAACTCACTGCGGCAGGAGGCCAGACAGTCAAATGCTGCAAAACTTTCCACTTAAGAAGAGGCTCCCACACCTGCAAGGCAATCACTACAAGGGCCAGGACCTTCCCCCCATTGCTCGTGTCTAGATGTATTTTTGGAGAGGCTTTCACCTTGTCCAGAAACACTGACGATTGCCAGAGGCTGGACACCAGACTCGGAGGACCAACAGCCGCTCCTATTGTTTTAACCTTGCTTTACATTTAACACCAACTACATGCAAGAAAACTAGCAGCTCCAAAGACACGTGAACAGAGCAAGAGGTCAGGAACCCCAACCTGCCTTATTTCAAGGAAAGGGGACTGTGGGGAAGTAAAGGGACATAGGTACAATGTAGCGGAGGGCCAGCCTGCCCGCCTGCGTAGACAGACTTGCCCTAGCTCCACTCCAGCTAGCGCACTAACAGCACCGTGGATGTTATGGCACCAGCAGTGACTCGGACTTGCCGCCTGAGCTTGGACCCAAGGGGTCGGGTGGGCTTGGGGGGGCCAGCCAGTGCCACAATGTCCACACTGCTACTTTTAGCGAGCTAGCTCCAGTGGAGCTGGTGTGAGCCTGTCTGCTGGGGCTGGGAAGCACGCTCCCAGCTGCAGTGCAGATGTACCCAAAGAGACTCCAGTTCCTGAGACTTACCTTGCGCTTCGTAGCCAGCGAAGTGACGGGTTGCATCCCCATCCTCATCGCCAAGGGCTGACTTCAGCTGGGCCACGTTCATTCGAGCCGTCAGCTCCCCATTCCGATCCCCGATCTGCAAAGCCAAGACCAGCAAGGGAGCTGTTGAAAGGGCAACGTGCTGTGGGCCTGCGTCCCCTGCGCAGATTCAGAAAGCCCCGGCAGACCCAGGCGACAGTGCATTACGGACACAGCTCGGATATGCTCTGTGCCATCACTCCATCAGTGTCAGGCATTGTGGGACAGATGCTGGAGGACTGTTATGGTCAACATCAGTAAAGCAGTGTCTACACTCACGCTGCATCAACCTCAGGACGTCGACCGGGGCTCAAAGCCACTCAGGGAGGTGGTGTTACTGCATCACCTTAATAGGGCATTTAGATCAGTGGGGGACTAATGTAAGTGTTGACTCTTGCACAACCAGGTCAGTGCAAGGCAGATCACATCACTCTAACTTCTAACTTAGTAGTGTGTACTTAGCAGCTGAATGGACAGTGCATCTGTGGGGCTTGGATATGCCTGGGTCACTACTAAACCAGGGTTGGATGCTCTAGAACAGGGATAGGCAACCTGCGGCACGCGAGCTGATTGCCAGAGGCGCTCGCACTCCCCGGTTCCTGGCCACCGGGAGGGGGGGACTCTGCATTGTAATTGAATTTTAAATGAAGCTTCTT